CTAAAATCATCAGTAAAAGCCAAATAGAACCGATTAACATCTCTTGTGGCGGTTCTGAAGGGTCCACACACATCCGTGTGTATGAGGTCCAACAAACCTTCACCCCTAGCACAAGTGCCAGTAAAAGGTGACTTTGTCATTTTACCAAGAAAACAAGATTCACAACTATCATCTGACTTTAGGTCAAATGACTCCAAGACTCCATCCTTTTGGAGTTGGCCTATGCGTTTCTTGCTTACATGTCCAAGACGACAATGCCATAAGGATGCTTTATCTAAGCTAGTGGAAGAGTTAATACACAATACATTATTTCCTAGATTATCTACAACAAATACAGTTTCATACACGCCATCACAAGGTAATGCTTTAAAATAAAGAACATTATTAAAGAAAGCATCAATACTACCATTATTATTATCAAAATAAAAGGTAAACCTTGTTTATACAATGCATGAAAGGAAATAACATTTCTTGCCATTTCTGGCGAATAATAACATTTATTCAAATCTAATGTAAACCCACTATTTAGCACTAAGGAATAAACTCCTATCTTGGTGACAGGTGAAGCTTTCCTGTTTCCCATGATCAAGTTTATCTTTCCCTGCTCCACATTCTCACTTCTTTTAGTCCCTGCAAATCACAACATATGTGAATACCACAACCTGTATCAAGGACCCAAGACTTAGAATGAGGTGAGTTATTAGACAATATAGTGTATATACCTGCATGGTTGGGTTTTACTTTCCCATCCTTCAAATCTTGCTGGTACTTTGGGCAGTTTCGCTTCCAGTGCGACTTTTCATGGCCAATAGAAGCATTCAGCCTCATTAGGGTTAGCAGAAGGAGTGACAAAACCTTTCTTGGTTTTGCTTGAAGAGGAGCCTTCAAGGGTCTTACCCTGGTACCCTTAGAAGGGTTTTTCTCTTCTTCCCTTTGCCATGCCCGATTGCCAAGACATTGGCCGCAGTTGGAGTAGGAGTAGGAGTAGTAACAACCGACTTACCCTTTAGACCACTTTCGGCGGTCTTCAAGAGTCCTTGAAGTTTGCTGAGAGTGACTTCTTCCTTGTTCATGTGATATGTCATGCGGAATTGATCATAACACGATGGCAAGGAGTGCAAAATGATGTCCATTGCTAACTCCTCAGGAAGTTCACATTCAGCTTCAGTAAACGGTCCACATACCTTTGCATTTTCTGCATGTGGCCCGTGATGGGTTCACCATCCTTCATTCGGGTTGTTATCATGGAGGAGATTATTTCATATCGCTCTTGACGAGCACTTTGATGGTAGCGGTCCATCAAGTCCTGGTGCATCTCAAAAGGATAATAGTCCTCATAGGACTTTTGGAGCTCGGCTGTCATGGTGGCCATCATGATGCATGCCACTTTTGTAGCATCTCTTTCATGTACCTCATATCAGCAAGCTCTTCAGGAGTAGCAGTTGGCTCGGGTACCTTCAGCCCTTGTCGAGAACATATTCTTTGTTCTCATACCGAGTGACCATCCTGATGTTTCTGATCCAATCTGTAAAGTTGGACCCATCAAAGATGACTCTCCAACAAAGATTCATGAGAGAGAAGGAGCTAGTAGGGTTTGAGCCAGAAGCATTGTTATTGGAAGACATCTAAAAAGAAGAGGGAATAGTTAGATTAGATATAGAGATAGTCCTTAACAAAACACCCAAATGTAATATTAAGGCTAGGACCCAACACAATATTTTATAACTTAGAAGAGGGATGCCGTAATCTAAGCTATAAGATATTTGAAGGTAGGTGAATGACGATTCACCAATTTCCACCATGAAAACGAAATATTTAATTAGGTTTTAATTGGTTTAGAAACTCCTAGATTCTTTGAGATTCATTGAACTTTCTTCAATGACATGTTTCAATCTCGAGTGTGCCCTTCAAGTTTTGTGACTGGGATGCCGAGGATCACAAAACAAGGTGTGAAGTAACCATGCAAATTACTTGGTACCCTTAATGTATTACCCCTCAATCGATGTGCCGGTTAACCACACACGCTCCATCGATACTATGATAAATTAAGTCACCCTTTACCTACCTTGTTAAGTTCAAGTTAGTGTGCCGATTAACTACACACGCTCCACTAACGACTTAAACAAAGTGTAAAGTGTAATTTCATGGATTAACACCTTATTCACATTTTCCTAAAATAACTAAGATTGGGAATTCAATAAAGTTTAGTTACTTTAGTATTATCATTATACTTTTAATGAGAATTTATAAGTCCTTGTCCTACCCGTTCGGCTAACGACCCTCCACCGATCAAGGAAGCGGTGGGTGAGAGTGGACACCCATTAAGTTGCCATTTTATAGGCAACAACCTTATACCCCCCTTATAGACCGGCTTCGTGAATGAGGCGTACTAGCGGTAAGACGACTTGATCTTATACATATATAAATATTATTAAACTTATAATATTATAAAGTATAAGGGTTGAATTTAAACTTTTAACATTCTAGGGGTTGGAACTAAAGTTTTTAATATGACTTTACAGTTCCAAAACTTGAGGGCAAGTTTTGTAAACTTTTCAAAACTTTCATTTCTCATTAACTATGAGTTAATGGTTATAAAAATGAAG